CTGTAGCAGCAGGGAAGCAGTTAACAAATGGCATACATGTATCTATTATGCTGTATGTTTTAATAAAAGAATAACGTTCTATTTAACTTTAGTATATCTCTTTAAATACCCTTCACTGAGCAGTGTGGCCACGCCCACCAATTGCATTATCCTTATTATTCATCATTCCTATTCTTTCAGGGCCCAGGGGTGTCCCAGGTATTTCACAATCCAAGCAATGCTCCTGAAATAACTATTGTTGAACATCAACTGTTATATATTCAAAATTAACTAATGGTAATTCCCATTCCTATATATGGTCTAAAACTTCAAAACTTAGAAAGTTTTTGAATTTGTGAAAAAATGCATACATGATTATTTATTATTGTTAAATCATTGCAATATCTATCTTTGTTAAGAGATATTAATGATAGAAAACATTCAGTAAAATACATCTAACCCCAACTAAGGATTCATTCACAGTTGCCTTCACACTAATCCAGAGTGGCTTAGTGTGGGGAGAGCAGTTTGTTTTGGGCCGCAGTGACTTGCAGCAGGGGAAGGTGTGATGTGCGTTATATTGCATCACACAGCTCCCTTTTTTGTAAACTTTACGTGAAGTGCATAAAATGATACTTTATTCTTGTCACAGCACAGCAGTGCCATTCAGTGAGAGGCGATATTATGCAGTACTAAAAGAGAGAGGACTATGCAGAGGCTAGAAGCTGCAGTAAAGGTATATTTGTGTGTGTTTTGTATGTAATGTAGTTACTCCTCAGCTCACCCCATCAGTTTCCCACGTATCACCGATTTACTAACAGACATATCAGACTGGATGTCATACCACTTCCTAAAACCCAATCTATCCAAAACTAAATTAATCAAAATACGCAGGCAAGCGCTAGTGAGCAAAATATTTATATAAGAGCAGCAGCTAGCACTAAAGGTATAGGTAACGATCCCAACAAAAATATGAATATAGAAGTGCAGTGCGAAAATCACATAAAATACATATGAGGTGGAACAATAAAGTACAGCATATATAAATAGATGAATATATGGTATTGCGTATATAAAAACCAAATAGCAACAATAAATATAGTCTGCAAATGGAAAGTGCTGATCAGTGCAAGTGCAAAATGGTGAATAAATAATGTCCTTGACTGTATATATCAAAATGATAAATAATATTCATCCAGCATACGTAATTCATAAAAACGTCCTTATGTTGATATTGTGCAAAATCGGCAAGTGCAGAGCGTGAATGTGTGAATATTCACATATGGAATCCACCACCTGGAATGAATGTACCAGAAGGTATATAATGTAAGGCATGTGTCATATCATGTCACATCTGGGGGTGCAGTGGCAGTCAAGGGGTTAATCCTGCTGTATCATCCGGGTACAGGTGGAAAGGAAGTCACTTGTCCTGAGGAAATAGCTCAACCACAGGAGCCAAGAGTAATAATATAGTGTAGTATTTTATTTCCATTAAATGTCACATTCATAAAATTTGCTATTTGGTTTTTATATACGCAATACTATATATTCATCTATTTATATATGCTGCACTTTATTGTTCCACCGCATATGTATTTTATGTGATTTTAGCTCTGCACTTCTATATTCATATCCAAAATTGAGCTCATAATATTTCCTCCCCCACGTTCCTCTTCCCCTGATTTCTCAGTCAGGATCAATAGCACAACTACCAACCCATCTCTGCATGCCAGGGTGCTAGGGGTAACCCTGGATTTTGAACTATCCTTTCAGGCTCACATCCAATCCCTGTCCAAATCATGCCGCCTCAACCTCTGCAACATCTCCAGAATACACCCCTTTTTAACCAATGATACCACAAAGCTCCTAATTCACTCCCTGGTTATCTCTCAACTCGACTACTGCAACTCCCTCCTCATTGGCTTACCTTTACATAGGCTGTCCCCCCTCCAGTTCATCATGAATGTTGCTGCCAGGCTCATCCACCTTACCAACTGTTCAGTGTCTGCTACCCCTCCCTGCCAATCCCTCCAACGGCTACCACTCACCCAAGGATTAAAATTCAAAATACTAACAAAAACTTACAAAGCCATCCACAACTCTGCCCCCAACTACTCCACCAACCTGGTCTCAAAATGTGAACCAAACCGCTTTCTTAGATCTTCCCAAGACCTTCTGCTCTCTAGTTCCCGTGTCATCTCCTCCCATGCTTTCCTCCAGGACTTCTCCTGAGCTTCAACCATCCTATGGAACTCCCTACCGCAATCTGTCATACTATCTCCTAAACTATCCACCTTTAGACGATCCCTGAAATCCATTCTATGAAGAAGCCTATCCTGCTTCTAACTAGTAAACTGCTTTTTATTTCCTCCATCAGCTCATCCCCCACAGCTATTACCTTTTGTATCACTCAAACCATCCTCTTACATTGTAAGCTCTAACGAGCAGGGCCCTCTGTTTCCTCTTGTACCAAATTGTATTGTAACTGTAATCTCTACCTAAATTTTGTAAAGCGCTGCACAAACTGTTGGCGCTATATAAATCCTGTATAATAATAATAGTGTTGTGTGTAATATACAGCTTGTGTGTATGCTTATGGGTAACGTGCAGATTGAGTACAATGTGTAGATTGTGTGTATGTTTGTGTCTAATGTGCAGATTGTTGGCATGTTTTGTGTGTAATGTACTCACTGTGTGTAAAGAGTAGATTATGTGTACGTTGGTGTGTAATGTCCAGTGTACATGTATGTTGGTGTTTAATGTGCATATTCCATTTATGTTTGTGTGCAATGTGCAAATTGTATGTATGTTTGTATTTAATGTTTATATTTTTTGTATGTTTTTAGTGTACTGTGAAGATAGTGGCAGCAAGCATGTCATTCCCTCTGAAATATACCAGGCCACATGCCTTCAACATTGAGTGCTGGGTGGGGGTAACAGAATCTAATATATAGGTGAGTGCTGGTGATATCTGGGGAGCAGCTAGCACACAAGGTGAAGGTAACAATCCCCTACAATAGTATATGTAAGAAAGTACAGCACTAAAAAAATTAACAAAAAAAAAAAAAATATATATATATTATATATATATATATATATATATATATATATATATAGTGGAATGGTAGAGTGCAACACATAAACGTGCAAAAAACATTAGTAAATGCGAAATCTAAAAATCAAACAATATGGCAAAGTGCACCATGAATGTAACTTTTTGAGCCTTGCTTTAACATTCCTATTTTTGTTTTTGTCGCTTTCTTTCCTCCCTTTTTTTGTTTTTTACACCACAAAGGGAATAAACAGTGTATTAGCAAAACATGTGTTAATGAGACGTGCAAAAACATTAGTAAATGCGAAATTCAAACAATATTTTTAATGAGCTGATGCCTCCATTTTTGTATGTTGGGGGTCATTGTCCTGCTGGAAGACCCAGGAGGAGTGCAAAAACAACCCAAAACATCATTGAACCTCCACCATATTTTAACCGTAGGTACAGTAAAGTGCATCAAGTAAAAGCATGAAAATATCAGCTAAACAGCTCAAATAGATCAACTCAGCTCAAATGCCAAACAATAAAGTGTATCACAATATGGGGCAGAATCTAAATACAATACATACATATAGTGTAGTATTTATTAGAACATTAAAAAGTATCCACGTGGAGACAGAAATCAAAAAGCATAAATAATGTACCAAGATGGCCACCGCTCCGACCATCAGATTTTATATGTTTATTGTAACATTATTTACTACTGCACTTTACTTCACAGATCACCATGGACATTATTGTATTTAGATTCTGCCAGTGATACACTTTGCTTGGCATTTCCTTTTTGAGCTGTTTATATTTTCATGCTTTTTCTTGATGTACTTTACTGTTTCACTCAGCTCATTACAATCATGATGCACGTTACCATATTGTTTGATTTTTAGATTTTGCATTTACTAATGCTTTTTGCACTTTTATGTGTTGCACTCTACCATTCCACATTATATATGGGGGGGGAGGGGGCTGTCAAAGCCTCCCTTGCAAAGCACCTTGTCCCTAATATTGAGAGGACAGGGGCCGAAAAGGATCAGCTATAATTTTACAAGGGAAGACTCATCAGAATCTGGAAAACTCCTTTATTAGGAAAAAAATAAACAGTGTCTCCCAATGTAAATCCAATTAAAATCACACAGTACAGCAATTTTAATCACAAAGCACTGCCGTTTGATGATTTCGATTCACTGACATCCACCGCCTGATGATTTTTTGTTCCACCACCTGAAGATTTTTATCCTCCAATTTCAAATGACAGAAGCTCAGGCCGGCTTCTATATGTCAAGAAACCAGCCAGGGATGCAAATATGAATCAGCTAAATTTGGTCATGACCATATTTTGTTAACTTCACCCAGGATCCTTGGCATTTTTTTTTACAAATAAGAGCTGATGAGGATCTGTCATTTAGTAAGAGTAGTGATACTGCTACTAAATGACAGATCGCTTGGATCCTCTTGCAAATTAATACAAAGTTGTAGGAAAGTGAAGTTGAGGCAAGTGCCCTCCACTCCTCATACTAGATATCTTTCCTCCTTAGTATATGTTCTGATTCCCCCCTATTGGATACTTTCACCAGTTGTTCTTTTTATAAGAACAACTCTATTCCTCCTTCACAGGAAAGTGCATCAATATTTTTTACAGCTGATCAGGTGAGTAGATAGTTGAGGAGACCTAAAGCGGGAAAATCAGTAGGCCCTGATGGCATTAGCCCCAAGGTGCTCAGGTCATGTGAAAACGAGGTGGGAGAGTCCTTCAAAGGGTCTTTAACCACCTCCCGCCCACCATATAAGGTAATGATGGGCGCAAGGCGGTTCTCTCATTCTGGGAGGACATCATATGACATCCTCCCACTTTAATCGCACATGCGCGGCTCCAGGAGCACACAGCGCGGCGATCGGCGGTGCGCTGTGTCCCTCAGACACAGAGGATCACCGATCAACAGAAAGAGCTGAAGTGTGATCATCGGTCATCTGATCAGCTGTGTCCAATCACAGGTGATCATCGGTCATGTGATCAGCTGTGTCCAATCACAGCTGATCACATGTAAATATGGAAATGCCAGTTATCGGCATTTCTCTCCTCACGAGCTGTCACGCTGAGAGGAGAGGAGAGCTGGTAATTGGCATTCATGGGAGGGGACATGGGCACTGATCATCAGGGCACTGATGATCAGTGTGGCCCCAGAAGTGCCCCCTGTCAGTGCCCATCAATGCCAGCTGTCAGTGCCCATCAGTGCCTCATCAATGCCACATATCAGTGCCTACCAGTGCACATCAATGCCCCATATCAGTGCCCATCTGAGCTGCCTTTCAGTGTCACCTATCAGTGCCAGTGAGTGCAACCTATCAGTGCTGCCTATCAGTGCCCATCAGTGCTGCCTAACAGTGCCAGTCAGTGCCACCTACACAGTGCCAGTCAGTGCCGCCTATCAGTACCACCTAGCAGTGCCGCCTATCAGTGCCATATATGAGTGCTGCCTTTCAGTGCCCATCAGTGATGCCTGTCAATGCCCATCAGCGGCACCTACTAGTGCTTCCTCATCAGTGCCACCTATCAGTGCTCATCAGTGTAGCCTATCAGTGCCAATCACTGTAGCCTCATTAGCGCACATCAGTGAAGGAGAAAAATCACTTATTTACAACATTTTTTATAACAAAAACTAAGAAAAAAAATGTGTTTTTTTTTTCAAAATGTTCAGTTATTTTTGGTTTGTTTAGCAAAAAATAAAAAACCCAGAGGTGATTAACTACCACCAAAAGAAAGCTCTATCTGTCTCAAAAAAAAATTATAAAAATTTCATATGGGTACAGTGTTGCATGACCGCGCAATTGTCAGTCAAAGTGTGACAGCACTGAAAGCTGAAAACTGGCCTGGGCAGGAAGGGGGTATAAGTGCCCTGTAGGCTAGTGGTTAATATCAGCCTGAGTCTACGAAAGGTCCCTGTGTTATGGAAGACATTGAGCCTTGTCCCTTTGCCGAAGATATTGCTTCCTTGTGGCTCCAAGGATTATAGACCAGTGATTATGACCTCCCACAGTATGAAGACCCTAGAGAGACTTGTTTTACATCAGTTACAACCCATGATTAGTAAATCTTTAGACCCTTTGCAGTTTGTCTACCAGCTGAGACTAAGAGTTGAGGACAGTATTATCTTCATGCTAAATTGCATGTATGCACAACTTGATAAGCCAGCAAGCACTGTGAGCAGGGGCGGACTGACAACTCATGGGGCCCCCGGGCAATAAAGGATCATGGGGCCCCTGTGTTCTTGCCCACACTCAAACCACACCCAAAAAAGCCTAGGAAAGGTACTTGTGGCTCTCATGGGACCCCCTACTGACCCCAGGCCCCCAGGCAGTGCCCGAGTGCTCGAATGGTCAGTCCGCCCCTGACTGTGAGCAGGGGCGGACTGACCATTTGTAAACTCGGGCACTGTCCGAGGGCCCGGGGTCAGTAGGGGCCCCATGAGATGCCCTGGTACCTTTTTCATAGGCTTTTTTGAGTTTGGGCAAGGACACAGGGGCCCCATGATCTCCTATTGCCCGGTGGCCCCATGAGTTGTCAGTCTGCCCCTGACTGTGAGGGTCATTTTTTTACTTGCTTTTGATACTATCAGGCTGGATCTCTTTGGCAAGAAGCTAGCAGTGATACAGCTTGATGTTTCCCTTGTGTCATGAATTGTACATTACCTGACAGGAAGAACGCAGTATGTGCATTTGCAAGACTGTGTGTCGGATAGGGTGATTAGCAATATTGGGGTTCCACAGGGGACAGCTCTCTCTTCCGTTCTTTTTAATGTCTATACCACTGATCTCTGTTACCAGACAATGTCTTGCCATCTTCACAAGTTTTCTGATAGTTCTGCACCAGTGGGATATATCAGGGATGGAGTAGAGACTGAGTATAGGACTGTGGTGGAGAACTTTGTCACATGGTGTGAGGATAATCATCTGTATCTAAATGTGACAAAGACAAAGGCTGTGGATTTGAAAAGGAAGAAGGCATCGATGACCCCTGTCTCCATCTGAGGAATGGATGTGGATATAGTAGAGAATTGCAAAATATCTGCTCATAGATAGGCTGGACATGAGCAAGAACACTAAGGTGCTCTATAGGAAGGGCCTCTATTTTTTGAGGAGACTGAGGTCTTTTAACATCTGCCAGATGATGCTGAAGATGTTTTATGAGTCTGTGGTGGCCAGTGCTGTCCTGTATGCAGTGGCATGCTGAGGAAGTAGGTTTAGGTTGGCAAAACACAAACAGACTCAACAAACTGATTTTCAAGGTCAGTGATGTTGTTGGTCAGTCTGTGAAGTACCATCAGTGACAGATTTTTACAATCATGATGCACAACAGAGCGACACAGGAAATAATTTTTACCTATGGAAAATTATACAATACGTCTCTGTGAGTGCTGGATGTAAGGATTTAATCTGGTTTATGCTCCAGATTTTCATGTAATTTTAATAGTATGTTGGTGTTTGGTTAATTATGATTTTGGGTAATGCTAGAGAAAGTGGCATAATATTTGCATTTTGGTAGTTTGATTTTCTGTTATTTTTTAATCTGTGTGCTTTATTCTATGTTGTATTTTAATAGTATGGATGGTTTATGAGAGTATAGTTTTAATTTACTTTTATTGCTGTTATTGGTCATTTTATTGTGTCATTGTGTCCTGTTACGTTCCTTGTTGTGTTCTTGTATTGTCTTCATTATATGTGGCTGTATTTTACTAATTTCCCTTTGGGAATAATAAAGTATTCTGACTCTGATTACTGTTGTAACGCTTTTCTAAACCTGGCAAGTGAGGATTAGGTACTGCATATAGACTGAATGAAAAGTAATTTTCTATTCTTCTATATACGGGTAAGAAGGTTCCCAGCAAATTAGTTGGCAATGCATTAGGAGAGGAAGGTCCATCTCTGTTAAGTTAAAGCGGAGTTCCGGCCCTTGCTACCTCCCAAAAAAAAATTAAAAGTCAGCAGCTACAAATACTGTGGCTGCTGACTTTTAACAGTAGGGCATTTACATGTCTATGCATCCAGTGGTGTCCTCACCTTGAGCCAATTCTTCAATCGGCTGTCGGGTGCTGGTGCCAGTTGACTAAGGGAAATCGGTAGTGAAGCCTTGCGAATTCACCGCTGGTTTCCTACTGCACATGCATGAAGCTCACTGCACTTTGTGAATGGGCTGCAGTCCTCTGGGACCAGACAGTTGGGGGTGCGAACTCAGCTGGAAGTGGGAGTGGGTACCTGTCAAAACCACTTTCCCGCTCCCCCCTAAAAGGTGCCAAATGTCCCAGCGGGGGGGGGGGGGGGGGAGCAGAAAAGCGGAGCTTACACTTTTGGATGGAACTCCACTTTAAATAATGTTTACCAGAAAAAAAGATGTACTTTCTCTACAGTATATAAAAGGTCCACCTCTGTTCCACATATTCCAGGCAAAGAATGAATCTATTTTGACACAGGAACCAGGATATTTTGGCTAATCTTCTGTAACCCTTAGTAGTCGTTGCAAAAAAAAAAAAAGCATATTGCACACCTTTAAAAAACCCACCTTCATAACATTTTCTGACAATATTTCCCAAATGTCCCAATTTTATGCAAAATGTTTGATGAAAGGAAACCTTCATTTCCCTATTACCTAGTATATAGTATACAAAGAGGCTGCGTTACCAAAGCATTCAAGGGTTTTCACACAATACAGTGTTCACTTACGTTATCTAATCATGTGAAAAGAAAATCCTGGTTTACTTATATCATGCACATGACTGGAAAATTGAAGCTAATATTTATCCAATATATTGTGAATATTCTGAAATAACATAGTAATTCAGTCTCAGAATCTCACACTGCATATTCATAATAAATGAAAGATTGTAACTAGGTCAGGAAATTTTATTTTTTTTAACCATGCCATCCAATAAAAAAAAGTATAAAATAATATTTAAATTTCACAAAGCTTACATTACATTATATTCATCTCCATGGCTGGTGGTGGGGGGTCATGTTTTATTGTCATCTACTGCAGGGGATTTATTTATTTATTACTTTGTGTTTACATTAAATTTCTCAATCTCTGTTAGGTTGCTTGGTTGTCCTGAGTTGCTAGCCTTTTTCAAATCCAGCCACAAACTCTCTATTGGTTCAAGATTTGAACTCGGATTTGAACATTCCAGGTTTTTAAATCAAACAATCACACACTTCTCAATGCAAGGGACTACCGATGGCCTAAACTATTTGTGTGAATTTTACATTAAAAAAAAACATATTATTAAAGGTCTATTAGCAATATAACTTAAATTGATAATCTAGTACAGATGTGCAGATTACAAAAAATACTTTTATTAATAACCACTTGCTCTCCAGAGGATTTACCCCCATTCCTAACCAGGCCATTTTTTGCGAAATGGCGCTGCATTTACTTTAACTGACAATTGCACAGTCATGCAATACTGCACCCAAATGAAATTTACATCCTTTTTTCCAACAAATAGAGCTTTCTTTTGGTGGTATTTTATTGCCTGTGCATTTTTATTTGTTGCGCTACAAACAAAAAAAGACCGTCAATTTTCAAAAAAAAAAAAAAAACTGATTCAATATAACTGCCTGGTGCAGAGCCATACAAAGCAGTGAGCTTACAGTGTAAAGCACACACAGCCCACATAGTAAAACAGCACACAGCTTTGATCACCCCTCATGTTAACCCCTTCCTGCCCAGTACATTAGTACAGTGTCAGTGCTTTTTATTAGCACTGATCACTATACTGGTGTCACTGGGGATTTCAGTAACACCAAGTCAGTTCCCCCCCAGTGTCAGAATGCCCACTGCAGTCCCGCTATAAGTCGCTGATTACCAACATTACTAGTAAAGAAAAAATTCCAGTATATACCGCCATTTGTAGAAGCTATAACTTTCACGTAAACCAATTCATTTACATGTATTGGGATTTTTTTTTTGCAAAGCCGTGTAGCAGAATACATTTTTGGCCTAAATTTATGACGACATTTGATTTTTACATTTTTTTTTTACTGGACATGTTTAATAGTAACAAGTCAAAAATATTTGTTTTTTTACTCAAAATTGTCTTTTTTTTATAGCGCAAAAAAAAAAAAAAAACGCACAGGTGATCAAATACCACCAAAAGAAAGATCAATTCGTGGGGAATAAAAGGACGTAGATTTCATTTGGGTGCAGCATTGCATGACCGTGCAATTGTCAGTTAAAGTAACGCAGTGCCGTAACGCAAAAAATGGCCTGGTCAGGAAGGGGGGTAAATCATCAGGAGGGCAAGTATTAAAGTAGGTTTGCTAGTAAAAAAAAATAAAATGTGCCCCTATTTAACCATTGGTTAATGCTAATTATCCCTAATTAGCTACTTCATTCTCCACCTCTGTCTTCCTTTAGCTAGTATTTATTTCTAAATCTTTTAATTTTTATTTTTTTAAACCATTAA